ACATATAATTTTTAATTAATTTTTTTTTTTAGTATAATATATGTGTCTGCTTTGAATTTCCGACCCATTTCTACCCATGTACATATGTATGTATAATTATATGTATATCGAGACCAATATCAATATAATTGGGAGCTAAAAAATAGATTTAAAACTCTTGTTGTCCTTGTATCAGTAAAAAATTCACTCAATTTTTATGAATGCTGCCGAGTTGAAAATTTTTGTTTGAATAAAAATCTTAGTCTGTTTCGAATAGGTAGAGCTGCTGCAGTAGGAACTTTCATAAAGGTGTCATATTTTACGGTTGCAAACTCCGAATGTCCCATCAAAATAATAATTTATATTAAGTTACACTTATCTTTCTGAAGTACATAAAGTGCATGATGAGTGAAATGATTCAACAAGGAATTTCCATTCAATTTTTGGAGCGGTGTCGAAACGTTCAAGAGTTTTCGGTTGGTACAAATTATTCAAAGAGAGTTGACAACGTGTTGTCAATGAATCACATTCAGCACGGCCATCAATATCAACTGATGGTCATTAATAAATTTAAGGAATTTCTGCTTGAAAATTGGCGAATAAGTTTGAAAGATCATTTGGGCCTAAGAAAAGTGAAAGCATGATTAGTTCAAAATCACTTAAAGAATGTCATGAAACATATTAGTACTGGCGATGAGCCTTAGGTCTATGTTTTCGACCCGGAAACAGATGATCAATTGGCCGAATAATGGGGCAATCTATGCCGAAGCTGTAAAACCCAAGTCAAAAATCAAGGTTATGTTGATAGTTTGCTTCGTTTATTGAGTTGTGGTGCACTCCAAATTCCTTCCGATCGACCAAACTGAGTGCTATGCGCGGAGGTATTCGTGAAAAAAGGAATTATGGATCGACAACTCATTGCTTTTGCACCGTCGCATACTGCATTCATTCTTCATAAGCTTCTGGCTATTCAGCAAACTGAAACGACCGCTCTGGGGAACAAATTTTGCGTCACCTCCGAGGACCTCCGACAAAAGATGAAGGTGCCTGTCGAAGATTTGTCGGCTTAAAATTGTGAAATCAAAACAAAACAGCTACAACAAAATTGGGAGTCGATCACATTAATCAAAAAATTCTTACAAGAAATTTAAATTACTGAACGAAAGAGTAATGTCGACACGAAATTCTTATTTACGAAATATAGGCAGAGTAACTTTGATACAACTTTTAATTGAACGATATTGCTATTGCAGTAGAATGAACTGATCGAGAAGTCTAAGACCCAAATTAAGTATGTGCCCATGGTGCATTTCGAAGATCCCTATTTTCTTATACGAAAAACACAGAAACTTAATGGGGAATATTTATTTTCATTCAAAAGAATATTTCTTGGCATTTTTTTTTGAAGACTATCTCTTTTAAATGTTGACCGCGGATAGTCTGATATAGTTTAATTTTCGTTCGAGCATTTCAAATGGTAACTGCCGAATGCCACGAGTGATGTTTTGCTCCAAGGTCTGAATCGAAGCTGGATTGTCCGCATAGACTTTAGACTTTACATATCCCCACAGGAAAAAGTCTAACAGGATGATCACACGATCTTGGTAGCCAATCGATCGGCTGAAAACGTGAAATTGTGTGCTCACTGAAGTCTTCTTTCAATAAAACCTATGGTCTGTGCGATGTGTGGGAAGTGACGCTGTTTTGTTGAAATCATGAGCATCAATTTCAGGCCTCAAATACTCACGCGTGATCTGTCAAAAAAATATTGAAAAAGTGCCTCGACTTGGAACACCCTTTATAATAATCCCATATAAATTAGCAAAGAAATTACTTTGATTTTTATTAGCCCACTTAAGAAGGTTAGGAAAGTTTTATGAAAGCTGTTTTATGATAAAAGTCTCTTACAGCTTTTATTTTGGCTGCCGATGAAATTTTGCTTTATAAGCGAGTTTGATAAGATTTTTCAACTTCTAATTCTTCTAAAGCAAAGTAGTTTTTGAAAATTGCATCTAATTGCACACAAACTTTTCAATATAACTAGAAGTATACTTAAGTAACTAAGCAGGGAAGTAAATCGTTAAACGCAATTAGCAGTAGGACTATTTATAGTCGCTTATAGTGCCACAGTTATTATTTGTTGTTGGCGTTTTGCATGCCTTGAACTCAAAGTGCAGCGCCCCAGCACGCACAGCACCCGCCGGCACCACCGCCGGCACCGCCGCCGCTCCCATCAGCCGCATTCAATTCCGAGAATTGCCGCGTTAATTTCATGCCAATGGCAGACACAACAAAAGCCACCAGGTTTTTACAAATTAAATTTCCCATGATTTCTGTTTTGTTTTCTTTGCTCAGTATGCGTTTATTTATTTTGCTAATTTTTCACTTTGTATGCCTGCGGCTGCCGTTAGTTGCCGTCGGGCGTTTGCGTGAACGCGCTGGAATTATTAATTTCATTATTACAGCGTTAGAGAGATATCGCATGAAGAATTGACTTTGTTGTGATTTGAAATTTGCGTTGTTGTTGTTATTGTTTTCACTGTTGTTGCTGTGGTTGTTGATTTTTGGACGGTTTCAGAGAATTTCGGGTGCCATGAGAGCGCTAACTGAAAAATTAAAAAAAAAAAACCGCAACAACAAATATACATAAATCGATTATGAAGCGACAACAATAACAACAAAGGTATGCGTAAATAATCACTCATGGGTGTGTTTGTGAGTCCACAGCGTTAGTGGGACAACGGCTGGTTTGGCGATGGGCGCACCGCGCGGTCGAGTGGCGCGCAATGCCGGTCGTATCATTAGCGGGCTAACTGCCCGGCTGATTGCTTGCTTGGTTGGCTGTTCGATTGTTTGGCTCTTTGCTAGCCGTCGCCTTTTAGCGATTTTGTTGTTTTGTTTTGTTTGTTCTTTGTTCGTGCATACTTGCTATGTACCCTGTGTGTGTGTGTGTGTGTGCTTACGTCGCTGCTTGTTTGCGTAGCACACGAACGCCGAGCTGAACGCTTTGCTTTGCGCGCTGAACAAGCGCTGTGACTTGTGGCGCGGTTTTGAAAGAATTCCCATTTCAGTATTTGCTGAATTGAGATTCGCGCCGGTTCGACAATTAGCTTAACGCCACCCCAGTAACGCACAAATTATACCTGCAGTAACCTGAGCACAAACGACAAACGCGCTCACCCATACACTTACGTAAAAGTTAGCACTTTCGAAATAAATATTTAAAATTCGACGCTATTTTGAGGCTGCTGATCGACGCGCTTTTTAATTTATTGCAGAATTAAATAAATTGCGCCACACGGTGACCTCACTCGGTGCATATTTTAAGGCGCAAAAACGTCATCTCACGTTCGATTGCTTGTGTTTTTGTTTCGTTTCACGTCTAAAAGAGAAAAAATAAAAATGAAATGTGACGCAAAAACGGAAGCGTGTGTGAAAGAAAAACTAAAAAGTACCCAAAACCGCAATCCCAGACATGGAAAGGGAAAGAAATTTGTTAGAGATTAAAACAATTAAGAAAAATCATCAATACGAAAAAAACTAAATACATTAAAAATATTATTATTTATGTAAAAACATTAAATATTATATGAAACTA